GTCATGTGACTCGATGACGCAACATTACTGTAACAAATTATTAGAGTAGAAATAGAAAGATATGATGTATGCAGAGTGTAAATATTTGTTATAATATTAAACAAACCTAAACAACTTTAAAATAACATTATTCATATAGATAATTACATTTGGTATTGGATATAGTGTTCGACAACATGCTCAAAAGTAGAACAATTGTAAGAATGAACTAGTTTACGCTTCTACCTGCTCTTGCCTTCTGTTGCCGAGTTTCTTAACTAGATTATGCTCCTACCTGCTCTTGCAGACGATGGAACACCTTCTGTCACCGACTTTCTGAACTATCAACATAATGCTGCTATGTGGTGAAATGCCATTTATGAGGCTTAGCTGTCTTAACTGTGGTTTCTCAAGATTCTCGGTCAAATTTACAGTTTAAGTACGGCAAATAATTAAGTTTATATTTTTGCCCTAACAGTAATATGTTATATTAACTCTCTCATCATTTATGTACATTGAAAGATATGAGGTTGAAATTTAGGTGCGTTTTGGTAATTTTAACACCCCGTCATGTGCCATAGTATAATAAAATTTATAAAATGATTACTATGTGTTTGACATGCCTTCGCTCATTGTTACAGTTTCATTTGCAGGTGAGCGTCACTAGCCAGTCTGTCACGTGATCACAACAAATAATCTCAGTGGCTGGTAGAAAAAAATCCGAAAATAATAGACGAGAAGTGAGGGCCGGAAGTACAGTCTCGAAACATGTTAAAACATATTAAATGTATACCGTGACTTTTAAATGGTGTGAGCGTAAGAAGACTCCAGAAAACTTTAAAAGACTATACCATCGCCTGAGTGTTGGTAAGTGTATCTGTAATCGTATGGTTGCTGTTAATGTGGCGTGAATGAAAGGCTCGGTGGGTGGGATTCCTGCCCGTGTCCCATACCAACAGTTGTAGGGCTGAGAATCGGTGTTTTTAGACAGCAGCCGTAGTGATTTCATCAATTTTGATGTAATATAAACGCAATGTATAACATATAATTTTTTTTTTTTGTTTTCCCTCGCAATTCTCTCTTACGACGTAACTGCTTGGCAGGTTGACAATGAAGTGTGCGTGGTTTCTCAGGTGACGGCTGTTTGTTGTACACAATATGTTTCTCTGGGACGCTTTACTACACCTCTCTGAAGCTACTGACCTTATGTGCCATTTGTTTTCTCCCATGAGATCAGAGTCGATGTACACTACATAGAAAGAGCGGCTTGTGTTAATGTCCTTAACGTGTGTGTGTGGGAGTGAACAGGACGTCTGTGATGTGAAAATCGGGGCAGTAAAACAATAGACATCACAGTGTAACACGTTGAACATATCCCGCAGTCTATAAGCACGTGTCTTAAGGCTACTATTTAGACATCAAGGTTGTATCCGATGAACAGTTTGCTTCACAGATTTGTTCAACTAATTTAATGCTGATCAGCAGGAGCTGCTGTTCATTTGCGTTATCAGTTAGGAGGAGAGAATATTAAAAATTAGTCTCCTAAACAAATGATGAAACATGGGGGCAAAAGCTGTTGGAGAAAACATTTTAGATCTTAACCTATGTGAACGGAGCTTTGTAACTGTAACGACGCTTTTTTTCCAACATGCAACATATCTATACATTTTATTTACTCAGTAATATATTACTATTAACGTAGGAACTCCGTTCGTTAGAGCCGTATATTTCTAAACACGTCATGTCCAGCATCAATTAGGAGAGAAGAATCTGTATAACTCCGCCCACTCGGAAGATGAATGGTGAAATTGCGTCGCGTCCGAATTTGAACTTCAGTATCGTAAGTGCCTCTAAACACAGTCTGGATAGTAAATCACCTAGTTATAATGGTGGTGCTGGATTGACCAATAGAGCAATGACCAGTGCTCCTATAAAACCGTTGCTGGACCTATCACATGTAACCACCGGACACCCAAATATAAGCTCGAGGCGTCAAACTTTGACACCTGACAAGATTAATATACCGGATCAAGATTCCAGCGAATATGGTATCTATCAGACTTTAGCATCCTTAGCTCTCATATGCATCTTGTCCCTGTTCATGGCTTTCCTTGCCCTGTTTTTCCTACAGAAAATTGGGCCGTTGACTTTAAGTACAGGAAATGGAGAATCATTCAGTAATGAATCTCCTAAAAAAATCATAAAGGGAAGTGAAGAATTTCTTGGTGTCTATCAAGTGTCAATATCCTTGAGCACCCTCACCATATCTTTGAACTTATGTTGTCTCTTTGTGTGCTCTATTCAGTTTCTTTTCGCCATCAAACTAATGAAAACTCCGCAAGGAGATGAAAGGTAAAAAATGTACTTTTTCCATTTGAACTGTAAGTAAGTTAACTGATTAATAATTGATGATTATGGTAAATGCTAGGATATTATTTATTTGTCTTCACAGATGTCATAGTCAACCGTCTGTATAAAAAAAAAAGACATACATTTATGGTAATTAATAGACTTTGCCACAAATTTAAAAGTTGTATGTATTTCAGTGACCTCTTCTGAATGAGCTGTGGACGAAATGTCCGTGTTGTTCTTTTGTTTATCAATAAACGAATTACTTTTAGAGAAAGTGAACTCTCGTGTTGATAGTGAAATGTTCTCTGGAAGTACATTGGTTTTGATAGTTCATTTGGCTTGTCTGTGTCTGAGAATGTTACATCGAATAAGGTTGATACCAAACATAAATTGTGGAAATTCTGAAAAACATAAGATATAGAATGGAAACTAAGTACGAACATTATACAATTATAAAGACCTGAACATGAAATAGGTGTAATTGCCATATAACTTCACGAAATCCATTTTTGCTCGCTTGAGATCTTTTTTTTTTATGCTCTCCAATACGATTATTTTAAATTAGAAGTTATTTTTGTGAGGAAGAATAAATCACATGAAAAATTATAACCTTCCCCAAATGAGGCTGTTCGTTAAAATCATTGTCACATAGTGTGACTGACTTAATGGTTCATGTAAGGCAGCTTCGTGATATGACTGCACTCTTAAGCTTTCTCAAACGAGTTGATATTTTAACACCGTGTTGTCACGTTGTACGTGATGTCGTGCAGAGGACATTTGGCAGACATTAAGGTCGAGAAACGTTATGCACTACAACAAATGCAGCTATGATGCTTTATTTGAAATTTGGAAAGAATGGAAACTTTAAAAAGGTCTACTCTGACGCATTCGTGGTAGAAATGTATTTAATACTGCGTTTGTATGACTGCCATTTATCTTCCGTGGCTATACGATTTATACACCAACTTCTGTGAAACATAGAAAATTATATTAATTGATATACAACTTGTATTTTAACTACATAACCATTAGTGTGCAATGCATGTCTTGGTTGAATTTTGTTGAACGAAACATAGCATACATTATATTTTCTAAAACTTATATTATTTGACAAAACAAATTTGAAGTATATATAAAAAGTTTTACGATGTTGATTACACAAAGCAATAATTTTCTTATCAAAGTATTTTAATTTCAAGATGATTTGTGTTAAAAACTAAACTTCCTGTTCATAATATCCGAAAATATCACTTCTAGCGAAGGTACCCAACTCATGAAACAATGCATTCTAATCTTTATAAATTTGTTTGTTTTTAGAGCAAAGCCACGTGTGTCCACCGCTGGGAATTGAACCCTAAATGTTAGCGTTGTAAGTTGGTAAAGTTAATGTTGTTCCACGGGGGGACATCTTTATAAGTAAGAACATAAGAAAAGTATATTTAATTAACTATACTGATTTCCATATTGATTTTCAGTTTCGCTCTAAGTACTTAACTTGCTCTGGTAAGAAATTAATGCCATATTTGAATTGAAAAGAACAGTCAACATTTTTTAGTTTTATTTTTACTCGAGTTTCGCTTATAACTTACATCGGTAGAAACAAGACAACAGAGAAAAGTTTTGAATTATCTAAGGGTGTAGCGTAGTATTGTGGAAATTTTATTTATCACGATATATTTCCTTGTCTCGAATTTGAACCCGAAACCACTTGCTCGCTAGGCGTGTGCCATTTTATTCGTTCATCAAAGATGAGAGATAACCACTATACAAAATATACACAAACAACCAACATCAAAATCATGCCAAGTATTACAAAACGATACTGTACAAATCAGGATTTAAAGTACGTGAACCTGAATTCCTGTAAGTTGAGCCAAAACAAAAGTAACGTAATACTAAATAAATACCTGTAATTGATCCTTCTATTTAAGTCTCATACAGTCGAAATAAATTTTATTCTGAAGCTTGGTTTTATAGCATACTAATAAACGAGGCTTAGGTTTACCATTTTTAATTACTTTTCTAGAAGTGGATAGAACATATTTAGCCGTCGAAATAGCATAAAACATAATCGGTTGTATCGAACGTACTACAACCAGAAACAATAGTTACCTGAAACATCGTAAAACAAATATTACTTTGAGTAACAAATAGAAATAGAATTGTTAACATAATTCCAAATAATTTTTGGATCTTCACGTTCAAATTAAGAATATTTAATAGTCTCATGAAATTGCTCTCATTGACAAAGTACATATTACAAGTACAAGTTACAAAGTACAAATTTCGTATTAATCATAACAGATTTATCTAATATAAACTAATCAACATCAACCAAAGTATTTCTTATACTCTACCAACTCAGCTAAAGAATTAAGTCCTTAGTGTTGATAGTGAGGCATTTTTTAACTTCCCAAACTACTACAGCATTATAAATAAAAAATATCTGTTGCTATGTGGCATCTGTTTGTCAACGATATAGTCGGATTAATATATCTGTTCTATTATTTGGTCTTACTTATCGACTAATATCTTTACGAAGTATAAAAGATTGATTTTCATTTTGCGAATTAAGTGCTATTGAGATAGTATGATTTATAGCTTCACTGACTGGGTGCTTTGGAAGACTACTGGTAGAATAAGATTTATTTAATTGATAATTCTATTTTTATTTTTGCAGATCAAATTAATGATTGTGTTTCATGCTAACTGTATTTGCCAGAAAACGAATCTTACTCTGTTGAATTACACATGGTTGAGTTAAATTATATCAAAAATTAAATTGACAACCACAGCCGATATAAAGTCATGGTGTATCAGAACTACATTTTGACATTGTTTGGCGTTGTAGGTAGTGTGATGCTATCGAAATTAGAACACTTTTGAGAAGAGTATGTAACAGTCCTTTACGACTTGTACTTAAAGGTATTGAAAACTTAAGGAATATGGACCGCCACTCCCCCCCCCCAAAAAAAAGAGGCTTGTAACAAGTCAAATCTCAGCCGTGGTAAGCAAAGCGGCGTCTTGTTACAGATCAGAACCCATGAACACAAAGGTCAGTGGTAAAATTCGTTGATGTGCGCCAGGCGACAGTACGCAAGTTACAACATATCCGTTCAAATAGGGTTGCACCGATATATCGGGTGTTAATTTAAAGCACCTCTCATATAATTAATTTTTTTTTACAAATACGTCAACTTTTATGCTTTTATACATTTTTCGCATCATAATTCGAAATGAAACAGTTGTGAATAATACTAGACTTGGCTTGTAGTCTGATGTCTCTGTCTACAAACCACGTGCCAGTGTGGTTGTGACTAAAACAGCTCACAAAGACTGAGGTTGCTTCATTATACTGAATTTACACCCTCCGTATTCGTGTTGTGTTTTGAAGTGGAAAGCCATCTTTTGTTTTCTGAAGTGGCAAAGCTGTCACGCTGAATTTTGTAGAATAAATTGGATGGTTTAAACCTGACTTTTTTGTGGTGAAGTTAATAATTATGTTTGCATGTATAAAGTTTCTACTATGACCTAACAAACGTTACAGTTACAATTCAAAAGTTAATATATTTGTGTTTTTATTTTACTAAGCGTTTCTAGAAACATTAATGCAAACTGTTTTATTTTCTTATGACCGTCATTCATTTTATTCATTTTCTGAACTAAATGTACCAAGCAAAAACTACGTATGAATTTTTTTATTAATAATGCAACCAGAAAAAAATCACCTATAAGATAAATTTGTTTTAGTAGTTTAAATTACTTTATCTGCACTAATACTAAATGTTGGTATCGGCCGGCCGATGTGGTTGGGTAATTGACACCCCTACGTTCAACCCTCGCATACCTCAAGTAGCTGGAGAATTAAACGGGTATTCATGCTATTTTATACGAAAACATACCAGGCAAGTCGTCGGACGCGGCACCTATGCTGGTATTTCTTTGCGACCGGACTATTGACAAGAACACTGGTTAATTATCGTCCTCGTATATTAGATGTATTATGGAAAGTGTACGAGGAAGAGGGTTGTGCTTTGGACATGAAAAGGCTCACAAAAGAGCCTTTTACAAAGGAAGTAAACTACAGGGCTATTTTCTAGATTCACGATCATCAGCTACAGCATGACCGGGCATAGCTATGTGGACTGTAACGATGTGGCGAGTCTCCAAAATCGTTTTACTGTAAAGTACTCAACCTCTAAATATGAGAGATCTGAGGATAAGAGTTCATGTTCACAGAAATTTCTAAGAATAATAGTTTTTTATATAGTTTATAGAGAAAATGTTTAAATATATATTATGTCGTGTCTTCTATGTATATGAAATCTAGTATGATTAAGCTGTTTAAAAAATATGATTTTTGCTCTCTTTAGAATCAAGTAGTTTTTGAAAAGTTCGGGATATTTGCCTTGGGACGTTTCCAAGTATTATTTATTATCGGGTCTCAGGAAAAAGAAAAACATATACGAGGTTTTCGTTAAGAAGCTAGGCTTAACGACATGTGAATCTATACTATTTGGCAAACTTTTTTTTTTAAACCAAAAATGTTAAACGGGCTCAATGTGCCTTTTAATGGGAGATTCTCCAACCTGATTGTTTTGTTACTGTTTGCCATATAACGAGCGAAGTTTAAAACTACCTTAACAGAAAATTCATATACGATTGTCAGTCATTCATAGCCTTTCATATTCTTAAAACATTGACAAAATTTCTTTATCATAATATTGTATGAGCAAAAACACGTTTATGTGATTTCATTGCATGAGTGTATACATCTTGATTAAACTTTGATTTTGATATATAGATGACTAGGATAAATATCACTTAAAAAACTGTATTATCATCAACCAAGCAAAACGTAATATTACAACTTCCATTTCGTAAATGGAGGGTTTAAAATGTTACGTATCTATCGTTCGTAATTAAGCACAAAGCTACACAATGGGCTATCTGTGCTCTGCCCACTAAGGGTATCGAAACCCGGTTTCTAGCGTTGTAAA